TTGAGCGGTTTGACTGCTGCTTTTGCCTTGGCTAATGTCATCTTTGCTGAATTATTTCGTCTCGGCATTGATTTTTTGTCGAGAATTATGTACATCTTTCTTCTTCGTACCAACTAATCAACTAAGTGCCAAATTACTTTGAAAAGCTTTCTATGCTATTAGGTTAATTCTATTCTAACCACGCAGAGATTGAAGATTCTTACCATTATTGAGGTACGTATATATGTATACACAAACTACAAATGCTTTAATTTTACAGTATACGATTCTGTAACAACCATACGTGATAGATATGCTCGCATGGTTCAAGTTGTGTTTATATTTTAGCGTACTATAATAAAGTTTAGACCTGACGGTATATTGAACCAATCAGAATTGCCAATAGGACATGCACTTAGGGATTGGCCTAGAATTAAGGCTACAATATATGAGACTATTGGTCTTAAAAGGATGCTATACAGATAAGGTTGTTCTATGAGCTGGCTATAAGGACAAAGTTGCGTGTATACGTTGGTCTTAGTCATAAGGTTGGCCTGAAAGTTTGACATACGACTCGGGTTGGTGTAAAAGTTGAGGTTTACGACAAAGTTGGGGTTAAAGTTGGTTTTACGACAAATGTGGGTTAAAAGTTTGTTTTAGATTCAGGTGGGCGAAACGGTTGGTATAGTTTTGGTGGGTCTAAAAGTTGGGCATATTAATAAGTTTTCGAAAAAAGAACAAATTTAGAAGGCTGTTATTTCATCAGTTTGTTGGCGGTGCCGGGATTTTAGAGAAAATCAGTCGGAATACAAGCCTCAAGACCGTCGGAACTGATGACCACATTGTTATCGAAATATTTTTACTTTTACACTTTTGTTCACCTAAGCACATCAGAATATACACACACACAATTCACACACACATACATACGCGCGCACGAGCTTAGGTCATATAGCATGGGAAGTACAAGGGTCGCAACTAGAAAGAAGAGTGTACTCCGACAGACATGTATATGTAAATTGCAGACATGTCCAACTCTAACTTCTCGTAAGATAAGACTACCGTTGAGTGATGAAACTCTTGCTCGACAATGGGTTAGAATACTGCAACCTAATTCTAGTGAAGAAACGTGGCAGAAGGCACTAAATAGGCGAAAAACTCAGCACAGCAATGATTTATTAATGCACGGCACTTTCCAATCATCATCTAGTAAATAGAGGTAATGTAATACACGCAAGTCCTGTTGCTTTACCAAAACTTACCCATCAATGGGAATCTGATCGTGCAATCTTAAAAGTTGTACAAAGCGAGTATGCGAGAGTGCAGTGTATATGCAGAAACGACGATGACATATGTGGCGAAGACTTGGGTTATAATGGATGCTTCTTACTATCTCGTGGTTTAAATAGCAGAAAACGAGCGTTGGCGTGGGTGAACATTTTAGTGTGCGATCCAAGCAAAAGAAAGATCATAGCAGCCTTGGAGATGCTACATCGAGAGTGAAACACCGTATAGCATATCATCACTTTCATCCGTATCAGATTAACACTAACAACCAGCGAAAGACTGTTATACCGGGAGCTATGCCATCCTTTACACCAGTACATTTGCAACCTCAAACAGTAGCTAGAAATACGACCACACCATCAGATCGTGCATGTATTCAATTTATACGTAGTACTGGAATACTACTATCAGCTACCAACGATGCTAGCAACAATAATATTACTCCCCATCACCGTACACTACATGAAATACATGTGAATACATTAGTGCAAACAGTGATTGTCACATACATACCAACTATATTTATAAATACATACAAAGAAAGTGACAGCAAAAGCTTGAAATACCTTGGCGAGAAGCGATTCGTGTTGGTAGAGATGTTATTCGACATTACTAATTATACGGGAAGATGCGACAGCTTACAACTATGGGATCCGGATTGTGTAAAAGGAAGCAAAGCCACACTTGGTGACAACGATATGATGAAATCTCGACAAGGAAACGACGAAGACGAACACCAGTTGTCACAAGTTTGACTAGCAGTTTTGTGCCAGGTAGGCGTACTGGCACTCGTTTATTATCACCGTTCGAGCAGTTCGTATTTTCCCTTTACGTGCTACGTTAAATGAGTGCAAAATTGCCTAAAGCAGCTGAGAAATTCGGCATAAGTGTGTCGTCAGCTAGACGACTAAATCCTGCATGGGTGTTTTCGTGTTCAAAGATATTGGATTGCATGATGTTTATTTGTACTGCTGCGCAATCAAGTGCTGTTTACATAGGGGATACTACAGAAAGAATAGTGGAAGATCTGTGTAAGCGCAGTGCCCCGCTTTGCATGTAGCATCTCATTCTGATTACAAAAAGTACGAAACGATGAAGCATAATGCAATTACAGACACATCTTCATATATATACCATGTATCTCCAGGATTTCCTGGTGCAGCCATAGACAATGGCATACACTCTTATTTAAAGTATGGTGCAGCGCTCAGGTGTGTTCTGAATCCCGTTGTCTACCTGTATGATAAGGGTTTAAGTGATCGATACGAATTAGAATTGAACGATGTGTGTGTTATTACACCCAGGAAAAACAAAACAACCAAATAGAATTTGAACGTATAGGCGTACAGTTGCGGACCGTAATGTTGCTCATGAGCGTTGTAACATAGAACGTACCATGGAGGAATTGTATATTATTCTGCATTTGATACCAAACAGCGATATATTACAACTTCTGAGCTGGTGCTTGCGGATAAGGAGGCACAATGCGTACGAGGCTTTGTAAACTTCAAACCACGAAGCCATAATGGGAAAATAAGTATAACTAGGAGAGATATGAAATTGAAGAAGAGCATTGGAACGTGTAGCACAGCATACAGCTCTAAATAATAAGGGTGACAACGATACGATGGTGGAGTTTTAAATTTAATAAATTGAATGTCTCTATTACACTTTATTACCTTTGATTATTACACTTTACTGACTTTATTGCCATCTCGATCAATAAGCAATAGACAATCTAGTTTGAGACCTTTCTCCTGTGTACTGCTGCTTTCATTTTTGAGCCTTTTGGTTTTGTATCTCAACACCAACTCTCAAAGCATACTTTCTTGCGATATATCAATCGGCTGTGGCCTTATGCTCAACAGCGTCATACGTCAAATATCATAGCACGTCTGTGCAGATGCAGCCGCTATATCTTGGTCACCACAGTCGTAGAAGTCCCGTAATAGGTTAGAGAAGGGAACATTAGAATTGATCGTTGCTTTTCTGTTTTTACTACGCCACATATTATCTCCGTCTGTGCTTCCATTAGAACCGATTTCGTACATTCGTTCTAATGCATGCTCTAATATGCACGCAACTATTTCTACAATAGTATAGTATGTAACATCCATTCCGGTAGGTCATTCGCAAATATAATAACAAACTTGTTCAATCTTGGATCGTATACAAGCTGTCCAAAAAAAAACTTGTTCACTTAAAGTATTTCCTTCAATGCTCTTGCCACATCCTCTGGCTTCTGCAAAATCTCAGCCGCATCTCGAACCGACCGATAATTCCGATAATGCTCCCATTAATCTAAACAGACCAACACCTATCCGATGCCTATAATCACTCTGACAGTATCGTATACATAAATGCACCACACAGAAGAAGCTATGTCTACGACATTGTTCGTGGAACACTTTAGCTTTAAAATTCTCTTTATATATGGGCTCTCTCTCACAAAACTCATCTCAAGTTAAAGACTGTGTATTTAACACTTGCCAGATTTAAGACCTTTACTACATCTTTCCGCCAGCGTGGGTCTAACATCAAGTTATTACCGCTGATCACCAAATAGTCAATATCATATGCAAGTATATATTTGATGAAGCCTATCCGTTGCAAGTAAACCAGCTGTTGGTCAGCTTCCGTGGTGACATTATAAAGTGTTGTATACCCATCCGCTTAAGGAGGCGCATAATATAACGTACAGCATCAAGATTGTGTACAATCCCCCCCCTCCCCTCACAAACCCGGCATGCAGCGTCTAAATCGAAGGTCTCAAGGTCCTCTACTCATCTTTCCATCAGCAAATTGCTTAACCAACTCCAATTTTTCAGCTCGAATAGAAGAGCGACTCTCCTTGACAAAATTTCCCTGTATACGATGCCGGTCAGTAACAAATATTGGAGGATGAGTCGAACTTCAGAGTGATGCTGTATCCTTCAACGTATAACAAGAATTGATCCCAGTCTTCGTATAAAACTTTACTTTCTGCGTGTAACGATAAGTGAGCATGGAATAGAAAGGACATATCAATACCCACACTCTCTATTGTGTCTGCAGTCGAGATCGATCATATATGGACGCACATAGCGTTCACCCCCATTGCGATGTCAATGCAATAAAAATCTAAACAGTACGAAACCTATTCAAAGCTGCCTATTACGATCAATTGAATGTGATATTCTCAATGAGCACAGTTTAATCAGTTTATAAGAGATTATATGTGATATGCACAGTATGATAGGCTGTATATGCGCACGCCAAAGTGTGTGTGTATGTGTGTGTGTGTGTGTGTGTGAACTGGTGTGTATTTGGTGTGTTTTGGTGTGTTTTGGTCAGTGAACAAATGTGTAAAAGTAAAAATATTTTGATGATAATGTGGTCATCAGTTCCGACTGTCTTGAGGTTTGTATTCCAACGGATTTTCTCTAATCACTATTTAGCGGGCTTCCGTAAACACTATAAAACTGAGGATCATAGCCACTTTAGTCAGTTCAGGTATTTTATATATTTTCTTTATTCTCTCCTACATAGTAGTAGAGGTACTAGTAACTAGAGAGTTCATGAGAGGATTAGTTTTTGTGGGTTTTCAATCCGACTTTAGGGGTTTGAAATATCGTTCGTCCGGCCGTCCAGTTTTTAAAGTTTGTCCGTCCTTATGTCCTTCGGTTGTCCACATACAGTCCCACATATCCAAAACCCTAAATGGACGTCCGAACAGGAAATATCATCCTCTTTGGGGCTGGGCCCAGGGGGACTGGGGGCCTGGGGGCCTAGGGGCCTGGGGGCTGGAGGCTGGTGGACACTACTCCGAGAGTAGCGAGAAAGGGAGAGGAAAGTATGAGTATTTACTGCTAAATACTACTACTCTCTCTCTAGTAGAGTAGAGACTCTAGAGAGAGAGAGAGAGAGAGAGAGAGAGACAGAGCTAGTAGAGACTCGAGAGTAGAGAGAGAGAGATACACACAGAGAGAGTATTTATATAGAGAGAGAGAGTTTATAGAGAGAGAAAGTTTATAGAGAGAGAAAGAGAGTCTGAGCGAGAGGGGAAAGTATCTGAAAGGCCCTGACGGCTGGCCTCTGGACAGTCTCTGGTTGGTTCGTTCTGGACTCTGAGAGTCTGAGTCTTAGGCTGTGCCGCTATGGGCTGGGTCCGTTAGTTGTTGTGGGGGCTGGGCTGTGGCCCTGGGGACCGGGGGCTCATGCATTCATCATGAGTTTTGATTGATCATTGATTGATTGTATGTATAAAATTTGTATCGGCACCGCCAGCCTTATAATATTCCGCCAAGAAGTCGCCAACTGCCAATGTCTGTTATTATTGATCATTGATTGATTGTAAGTGTGTAGACAAGATGGCTTTATGTATTTCACTAATTGTTTAGTTTAAAAAAAAAGAAAAAGAACCAAAGTAAAATACACATAGCCTTCTAAAATAGTAAAATGACCTAAATTGCACACATGTTGTTATTTTTTAGGCGGCAAAGCCTTCTTGTTCAATTTTCAGAAGGCGACGTACGTAGGAGGCTATGATACCACATGCTGGATTTGGGTCTCTGTTAAATTTATTAATATTAATATTTACGATTTACCTGATCTGCTCGCGACCATGAAAAATAAAATACTAAAAATATTTCACGTAGGACAAATAGCCTGGAAATGAATTAAATATGAAACTAATTTTTCAAAAAAGTATATTGGTTTAAAAAACAACAACTATTATGTATACGAGAATCTGATGATAAAATTAGATGAGGTATTCCGTATTTCACTATACAAAACCAATGAAATACTCGTCACGTCCTGCGTATGTGGGTAACCCTCCAATGGCTATGCAGAGTTTAGTATTAAGTCAGCTGCGAGCCAAAAAAAAACCAATATATATACATATATATATACATATATACATATATATATATATATATATAAATATATACATATATATATAAATATATAGATAAATATATACTTATATATAAATATATAGATAAATATATACATATATATAAATAT